TCTTAGATCTGCACCTGCCCATTCACATGCTCTGTTGGCCCTGTAGGCTGCCACGCCCCGTGGTCGGCCTGCGCCCGACGTCGCACGAAGTTCACCACCTCATGCTCCTTCCTCGGCGCACGAGTTCCACACCGCGGGCGGCGGTGGTGTCCCACCCGAAGTCTCCAGGGCGTGGTGGTGGGGGGACTCGGAGCCGCGGAAGAAAAGTGACCGAAGAAGGAGGAGTTGCCTTTTCTTGGAAGCCTTTGCTTCGGGTTGGGCACCTCTCTCAGTGCGCAGTGCCACACCTGCCGCACCAGCGACCACCGCTCTTCGCCCGCACGACGGGTCCAGGGCTTCCCCGACCGCAGGTCCACCGACACGGTCGCGGGCACCGGGGGCAACGCGCGGCCAGCGGCCTGGCATACGGTGCCGGGCGGCCCGGCCCTTCGGAGGATCGGCCCCGAAGTTGGGATGGGGAGAGTCTTTTTATAGGGGGTTGAAAGATCATCAACTGTCTGTACACTGTTGTTACCCTTGACATCCCTTTACCATCCTAAATTCATCAAACTAAAGGAAAGCTCAAGTCCACTGCCATGTGAGTGGGGGGGAGGTTTCTAGGGTCTTTGGTTTCGAAGCTTTTCGGTTGAAGAAGTGATGGAAGTTTCTCGTGGTCCGCAGCAAAACCGGTCGGATTCTGGAGGCCAAGTATCTGGGCTTCCATGAAAACTGCAGCTTCTGGAATACGTGGCATGATAGTTACTATTCAAAACGTTTCTTGACGCAAACGATCTCTAGATTCTACAACCCTCGTGTAAGGAATTCTCACAAGATATCATAAGCAACCCACGAGTCCGCAGACCTATGATCCCATCATGATCCTCCAAAAAGACCCATGATTAACCATGATCCATCACAAAGATGGGCTGGATCCTTCAAAGGATCACCGTCTCCCATCTTACAATGGATCACCTACGATCACAGAAAAAGACATGGTCCTCAAAAAGAGAATCTGGCATGGTTCCCAATTCAGGATCTAGTGACTAGATCCACTGTTCGTCTTCTCTTGGGGATCCATTTGAGGGTCCATCGATACATCACCCTCAAGCTCCACGGAGCGGCTCCACGCGATCCCACCGCCTGGAGAGCCCACGCCACCGCATTCCAGACCGAGCCTGGCCACGAGCCGAAGGGTGGCGAGGTCGACCATGGCCCCTGAGGTGCCCATGGTCCTCAAGATCGGTTCCTCCTCTTTCACCGATGAACGACAGAAGAATCCGATGAACGACATCTTATCCCACTTACAAGCCCTTCAAGGCCAACCTCCCAGTCAACCTTCCCACCAAACACCACTTCAATTCCCATACCACTCCTGAAAAAAAATGTAAAACTCTATAATATATATATATATATATTCCTCCCCCCTCCCTCGCCTGAAGCGTCGTGTTGCTGGCGCCGGTCCATGAGCTCCAGCAGCCCCACCGCGTGCGGCCAGGCGTGGCCCAAGCCACCTCGGTCGACCCGCCGACCCGTCGCGGTTGCCGTTTCCGTCGCCCCGTGGCGACCCCGGAAAGGCTCTTCCAATACCAACAGACGTGGTGAAAACAGGGTCCAGACGTTGGTCTTCGGTGTATCCCAGCTTTACTTCAAGAGGTCGTTTTGGTACGACCAAAGGTTGCGGGTCCAGCAACGACCAAAGGTCGTCCGAAATGCCCAGGCGCCCACAATGTCCTTCTCTCCTCCGACAAGCTGAACGGGTAGTTCCTCTGAGTGGTCGCTGTTTTCGGGGCTCAGGGACCATACCAGGGTAGGAGGGATAGGGTAGTGCGGACTTGATATAACCAACATCCTGCCCAGGCGAGCCCTTTTTCTCACTGCAACTCAGCCTTCACCGAGCACTCGCGCGTTGCCTCACCGAGGCAGTGCCATGCAAGCGAACAGAAACGAGATTCATCCCAGTTCAACCCCAACAACCCCAAACAGGCTCCCCAACCCCAGAAGTTGCAGTCCCTCAGCACAGCTCCAAAACCATCCTCCAAAACCAGCTGGACCCTTTCACATCTACGGCCGGTCGGTCGAACCACGGTTCGCACCTTCCCCCCTTTCCGCGGCCGCACCTCCGTTGGGGCACCTTCTGCCTCCTCATCACGGAGGCCTCGTCGACTGTTTGCGACGCCCAGGTTGGACCCCCCAAGGGAGATGCAAACAGTCGATCCCCACTAGAGAATGTAGTGGAAACCGTGCCACTAACTATTTGGGGACCATGTTTGTATACCTTGGGTGTATCCCATTCCCTGTAACATTGTGGATGATGATGATGATGATGATGATGATGATGATGATGATGATGAATTTGATGATGATAGTTAGTGAAGGCCTTTCTCAACAAATAGTGATATGTTGTTTTTTTTGACTGTTACATACTGGTCTGTTACAGGTCATGGACACACACTGGTCTGTTCGCCATCCCCGTACGCCATCCTCAGAACGCGGAAGGTCGAGCTTTGGTCATTCTTTGATGCAAGGGGCTCTAGCTCGGAAATCGGACATCTCATGAGATCGCCAGCTCGGATGCTTTTATCGATCAATTCTTTTCACAAGGCACACCAAGCGACTGCTTACCAAAAAACACAGGTCTCCGCTACGTTGTATACGGCAACGTATGGGGCTCTGAGAGGTTTCTTCTTCTGTCTTTCGATGCGCACCGTGCGCGCCGATGCCCGTGCTTTGCAGCTTTCAAGCGGCAGATTTCGGGGGTGCCCCCTTGGATGGCAGATTTCGTCGTGTTCAGCTTCGTCCACTGACTCAACTCACCCCACCCGCACGCCATCAAACGCCCTCGCCTGCGCTTGGAGGTAGGATGCCTCCCGAACCAACATGGAGGCCAACTGTCGAGGATTGGATGGGCAGGTCACCTGCCTAGAAAGGGTTCCTGCGCACTGCCAAGGTGGTTTCGGGGGGGCGGGGTGATCATCGTCATCCCCTAGAGATTCCATGAGATTCCTACAAGAGATTTGGTCCATCCTCGACACAAATGTCATATCTCCACTGTTTTCATGCGACAAACGAAAAGCCATTCTCAAGTGAAAGAGTTTGGGAACACTCAACAACATCATACAACAACTGCAACGTGTTGGTGCAATTTCTCCATCAGTTTTAAGATTGCCAACTACCTACTATCTACTTGACACTTTTTGAGAATGACTCATTACCATACCCGACAACTCCCAAAATAGTCCTCGTTCATTTGATTTTTCACCCGGCAGGTTGCATCTGCGCAAGGAGCCTTGGACAAAAGCGATTTGTATGTGGCATAATTACATTATATAATATGCAGATTGATACAGTATTCAATACCCAAACCGCATCTGCTCACTGGCAGCGACCAGCCAAAGAATTCCAAAGAACCAAGAACAATCTACAGAATGACGCCAACAAACCAAAACTCGCAGAAAGATCCTACCTTCCACACCCCGCTGACCCCGACCCCACACCCCGCCTGCTCGGACTGCTTCAATTTGGGCTGGGCGCCTCAGCCACTCACCGACCCCACCGGTCCCGCTTCGGTTTCGGCACGCCCACGGGGCGAAGCCCGGAGATCGGAGACCAGCAGCCGGAGGAGACTGGGATGAGAGGTTGGGATGAAGCGCCCCAAAGGTTCACATCGAAGCGTTGGATCGATGTCTTAAGGGTCAAGATCCAATTCTCAGAAACCTCCTCAAAGGGTGAAAAGCCGGAAGATCTCCAGCTTTCCGACCCCTTGAGCCGTTTCCTTTGGACGATTGAAGCATTGGTTGACCGAACCTGGCCACCTGTTGGATTTCAGTGGGAATACCCATTCCATCATCCCATTCCCATAAGCCTGGCGTTTGCATGCTTTTGCAGGTGATCATGGTGATCCACTGGTCCTGGGTCAGTGCAGACATGGTGCAGACGCCTGCATGTCTGGCGTAACCTCTCAACACCTCAGAGCCCTGACCGTCGCCCTGTTCCGCCGGAGAAGGAGAGGGGGAGGAGACCGGAGACGTCAGCATGAACCCTCAACACCCCGCAATCGGCCCAAATCCTGGTGACCACCACGCCGATACGTCGGTCATCTTCCCGTTTCCAGTCGGCTCGGTGCAGACCCAGGAACCCACCTTCGCCTTCGCGAAGCCCACCTTCGCTTGCTCCAGGCTTCCGTTCTCAGTGGGTCCGGTCCGGGCCCCACGACAGCGGCATCGGCCGCTAAAGGCCATGGGATCCGCAATCCATCTCCCAAATCCGGGCTGTTCGTATCACATGCATAGCTCCAAAATCCTGGAAGTTTGAGCATTGGTCTCTCACTCATAGTTCAACAAAACGAAGATCACAAGTCCATGACATCTGCACCCCTTGGAACTCTGGCCAGTCCGCCTTGGCCGTTTGGCCACGACCTCCACCGACCAACGCCAAGAAACCCCTCGGCTGAAGACCGTGAAGAAGTGCCGCATGAACACCTGGCGACCGGTCGACGGTCCGGCGAGCAGACCCTCTCAAGATCCGAGCGCCTCCAGCGGTTTGGGACCCCGGTTTGACCAGAAGCCCACCCCCCCCCCACCCCACCCACACACATACACCATCTTGCACCCACCTCTTCCACACGGACCAGTCTGTCTTCTTGGGGCCTCTCCGAGGATCATGGCAGGGCCATAGGACTTCCGCTTGATGTCCAACTTCATAAAGGCCGGTCGGCAGGAGTCGTTCTCGTCCATGACCTCGGCAGACAGCGAGACAGCGAGACAGCGAGAACCCGAGCCTCGGAGACGGCGGGGTCGGTTCCTTTGCATCTGTTGGGACGCCCAAATCTGCAAAAGAGACCCTCACAGACTCAAGACATCTCAACTGCACTCCACATCTGACGCCTTATATACCAGGACCCTCCTGGCCAGGCTGTTTGGAGACCTGACCACAGGTGGTTGTCACCAGGAAGCACCTGTTGTCACCAGGAAGCACCTGGCCAGGAGGGTGTTAGTATAGAAACCTCCCCACATCGAAGCCCAGGCGCCATGTAGGTGTCCTGGCCCACCTGCGTCCGACGTCCGAGGAAGGCCGACGTCCAGGTCACTCGGTAGGTGGACATGAGAGAAGGGAAAACCCCAAGGAAGGCCCAATCGACCCAAACAGGTCCTTCCTCTCTCTTCTCGTCACTTCAGTTCATCCAAATCCATCAATCACCCAGGACCCCAGAGGAACCTCCAATCCAGGACCCATGCAGTTCGTGGGGCGCTCCATCGGAGCCCCTTCCGGCGTTCGGGGCGGTCTGAACGACACCGAGTGATGCCGTCCACCCCATGAGTTTGACATCGGAACGCAGGAGCTCCTGGCGCAAGGCCCTCGACCCAAACGTCCACCACGGCAAATCCATCCAAATCCCCACACCCCTCCACTGCCCTCCACCTCCTTGCATTCACAGATCCCTCCCCTCCCCATCTGCCTCGAGGGTATAGGTCTGGTTATGCGCACTCCGCAGCACGTATTGGATGGGCGGATAGTCCTCCACCTCGCTACAAGGAGCCTCTGGAAAGTGTTTCATGACGCTGAAAAACATCTCCTCAGCATCGGCCACTGCGAGGATGGCACCGCGAAAGCGGCACCGAAAGCGCTGGTCCGGCGTGGCGGATGCACCGGTGTGCTGAGAGCTAGGCGCCCAAGGAGAGCTTGGATGGGAGGCATTTTCCGAAGCAAACGCACCTAGGAGATCCTTACAAAGACTTTCCACACTACCGGGACCCCGTAAGCACATCTTGGAGATAACCGTTCCAAAGCCCGCCAGGTGTTTTTGGAGCACGAAAACGGTGGGCAAAAGCTGGAAAACGGTGCCGCCAGGTCTGCTAGGTCGTCCGTAGGTCAATGAGGATATGACAGGGAGGAACCGAATGTAAAGACTGAAATACGCCGGGTCAATTGCTCGAAGGGATGGAAAATAACGCAGGACAAAACATCAACTGCAACAAAACAGCCACACCTCAGACAAAAGAAAAATGCAGCGGATGCGATTGTCATCAGGCAGCCTCTTGCTGTTTGGAGTGAGTGCAATTGTCTGAGTGTCACAGTGGGGAAGACTCGAGGTCAGGTAACTGCCATCATCCAAAACAAACAAAGTGTTGCGTCACGCTTCTGGTGAGGCTGTTTGTTGTGGGTGGGGGCGGCCAAGTGGCGACGTTTGTTGTGACTGCCAACAACACTGTGTTGTTTCGGCTGTGGTCGGGGGGGGGGCCAAATGGGTTGTGAGTGCCAACAGCACCATGCTTTTTTCGGGTGGGTGGGGTGGGGCCAAGCACTGACGTTTGTCGCAAGCATCGCCGCCGCCGACGACGACGATCAAAATCAACAACGCCTATCAAAATCAACTTCAAATAACTTTGCATAACTAGTAAAAGAGATGTATATAAAGAGAAGCAGGCACCCTCTACCCAGCAACCTCCACCAACCATCCACATCGGCAATCTTCGACGCCGAGCGGCCGAGGGCGCCGTGAAGTAGGTGGTACCGCTGTCCACCAACACATACTTCGCCTCGGGGCTCGGCGCCATGTGGTCCAGCCGTCGACTCGGGACATGATGGTCTGATGGTCTGGAGATGGGAGATGTTCTTGGGGTTCAAAAACCTGTCGGAACACACTCAACTACCACCGCTTCAGGTTGTCACAGTAAATCTGGCATGAACGGCCCTGAAAAAAGGGTCGGTCGGAGCTTCACCTCTTTCAGGACCCTTGTGAGTCCTCTTCTCCGGCCTTGTTGTCCTCTGACACGTGAGCCTGGAGGGGCCAAGCATGCAGCATCACCGTTTGGATCATTGCATGCTGTCAAATACAAATATGGTATGTGAGTGGCACGAGCGCCTAGCACGAATCATCTCTGGGAGAGGTCGTCCTCCCGAGCCCCGGCTTCTGACAGGCAGAACCCCGCCATAAGCCACGTCCGTTTTCATGCGTCACACGTCTGTACGTCATGCTGAGCGACGCTGATCGTGGCTCTTGAAGCCCCATCTCTAAAAACCTCATGGGAGGAGACAGACTATCCCGAGCCCATGCTTGTAGCCCATCTCCCCAGCCCATCTTTGCACAGACTCTCCAGACTCTCTCTCCACCATCCGAACCGTACTGTGTCCATCCACACCCCAACCATCCGACCCTCCGACCCTCCGACCCTCCGACCGTTCGCGAGCCCGCCGCGAGCCCGCCGCTCGGGCCTTCACGGACTTGCCGTTGATGCGAAAGTCGATCAGCTCCAACGACCTCGGCCGTCGACAGGTGGCGCCGCGGGCGTCGACAGCGGCGCGGAAGCGGCGGAAGCGCGGAAGTCCACCCCGGGGTGGAGGGGAGCCAACGTCCAGGTGATTGGGGGGGGGGGGTGGCACGGTGGTGGTTGTTTTCTTTAACTTTTGTTTCCACGACTTATAACTTCTATGACTCTGACTATCATACTTGAGTTCAAGTTCCTTCGAATCTCTTCCGCTGTTCGGCGGCGGCGCGGCCCTAGCGCCTGGGCGAGCGACTGGGGAGATTCACCACTCTGCCGGTCCCCAACCCGACGTCGACACGACCGAACGCGCCGCGCCGCGCGCCGCGCCGCGCGCCACCGGGCCGGCCAGGGCGCCAGTAGTGCGGCTTGACGACCGGGAACATGGCCTTGGGAGACGGGTTCCCTTCGACCTTCGAAGGGAAACCCAGGAAGCGTCCCAGGATGCCAGGGGTAGGGGTGGTGGTGAGTCCCATTCAGTGAGTGGATAAACGGGCACCCCTATCCTCCAAGCTCGGCACCCCTTTGTGACTGCTGGTGGTTTTGTGTTATGTATTGCTTTTCACTGGCAGAGTGGGGAGGCTCGCCACCTCCTGCATAGGCCCATCCAACAGATCTTCCGTGGGACAGGTCTCAGAGTTCCAGCAGATGAGGGAGGGAGCGCTTGTTCCAAAAGGACCCCTCTGCACCCACCCACTTCATCCCACTTCCGCCACGATCTTCCCAAACCAAAGCATCCATCGACCAGGAACAAGCTTGCACGTTCCGCCCTTGGGACGCTGGATTTTCTGCCCGGCGGCGATGGAACCGTCAAACAAGTCCTGGCACGCCACGCCGCCCAGCGGAGCACCGACACGCCGGGAGAACAGACACGCCGGTCACGACGGGGAGAACAAACAGACAGATAGATATGAGAATGAGTGAAAACTCTGTGAAAAAGAGAAGTTGCAAATGATCGAACACATCCTGTACCACCTTGCTGGGCCAATGGGGTATCCCTCTGCAATTCATACCGAGTGGATGGCCAAAAGGTGTGCCGGGTGGATAAGAAAAGGAGAACGTGACCCACCCGCCATGCGCACCACAAAAAGGGACAGCTTGACAGACATATTATATTGTAGATTATTATAGTATGTCAACATATCCCACACACTCCATGGGACTGCTATATATGCCGATCAGGCCAGGGGTGGTGCCAGGGGGGTCAATGGGGCGGCAGTCCTATGGCAGTCCCAGACGAGTCGTGTGTGGGTATATTAACCTGGGACCAGCGACCCCACGACCGTTTCCTGTACGCACCGGAGCGTCTCGGTCCCGGAGAAAACGGACGAGCCGTTCGTTGGCTTCTACACAGCATTCAATGTTCATTCTAAGGCAAAATCTGCAGGAAAACCCTGGTTGTCACCCCAAAAATTCCCTTGAACTGATTCTTTGAGGCATGGCCACGCACGGTTATTATATATTAATATATTAGTTATATTACATCAAAATATACAGGGGTCTTTCACGGTGCAGACTGGCCGTGGTGCTATGCGTTCGCCACTGGGCAAGTCTCTCAAATATGGGACCCTTCAGTTGTACTTCTTCAAAGTGAGCTGCGGGGCCCTGGTTGGTTGGGTGATGTTGCGCCAGAGATTTGGTCACCTGAGCTGTCTTCTAGCAACCACTGTCAAACGGACCTGCGACTAAACCAGCTGCTCCAAGTAGGAGACACCAATGGGCACAGCACATTCTGACCAGTTCACATGAGGCAAGAACAGTTATATACAATTTACTGCACGCACTGCGCGGAAGCGCTAGGTTTGTACAGGTTGAGGCACGTTTCGCAGGATTTGCAATCCTGTGACACTTCAGGGTGTAGAGTAAAGTTCTACATAAAGAGTACCTTTCAAAACATTCGGAAAGGCTGCAGACATGCAACCCGCCACACCTTTTTTGGTCGCCTGCAGCGGGCTACAGGGCTACAGGGCTACAAGGCTAGCATATGGTCTTTCTGATCTCGAGAGATCCCAGTCATCGCCCGCCTGGTCCACACCGCCCCAGAGCAAAGCACTCGGCTGGTCGCTGTCGGTGTTGAGGTAAAACGCGAACTCGTTGCTCTTCAGCAGCTTGGCCTGAAAGGTCTCTCTGCTGTTGTCAGAGGAGTCCAAACTTAAAGAGTTGGCTTTCATGTTTTGACTGGTCAAAGTCGCTGAAATGATGTGCGAAAGCGGCCAGACTCATCTTGCAAAGCCTGCTCAAAGTGTAAGTGTAAACCTGCTCACGAAGTTGCTTGGCCAAGGTGCTTTGATGACCCGCCTCAGCCATTCTGAAGGTCAAATGCTTTGAGAAGAGATTCGCCCAACAGCACTCAAGTTCCAGATCCCAAACATATGTCTTTTTCACCGTGCATGCGTTTCTCTTGCTGAAATCGTAGCCAGCAAAATCCTCTGAAAAGTGCACAACTGTACTCCAATCCGGAGGGCCCCCGGGCCTCGGGGGTGCATATTGCAGCTCCCTCACCTTCTTCCCTCTCCCTTTCAACAATGTGTTCCCCCGGCTCTAAACGTCGTCCCAGGCGCTCGAAAAAGGGCTCAATTCCTCCAAAGGAGAGCGATGGAAACGCCAAGCCCAGAATTCCTTCGAAGGGAAAGGAGGAGAAAACATCACCTGCAGGGCGGTCGAGAGTCGATTCCGACGGATTTCGGGAGACGGGTCGAAGTTCCGAAGGCTTCTTCGGGCGAAAGTACCCAGAAAGAACGAACTCTAACAGAATATTGGCTTCCTTCAGTTCATTCCGGGCCCCGAAGCGAACCAGCCGTGCAGGTCACATGTGCAGGCACTCCAGGCAAAACTCCCATCCAGCTCGCCTGTCATCTCTCTGATCATTGCAAAGGGCTGCCTCTCCACTGCCATTGGACCTGCCCGAGCAACGCACCGCGCCCGGTTCTCTCGGTTCGCACCGCGCCGCCCGCTTCGCACCGCCTGGCGGCGTCCGCGACAGCTTTCATCCGCAGCGTCGCGCGCACGAAGCTTCGAGTGGCTGACGGCCAGCACAAGACCGCTGCTGTGGACTCCGTGAATACTAGAAGATCGAAGGGCGAAAGGAAGAAACTGTACACCCCAGTTGGCAGATGCCACAAGCCTTTGCCCTAGGCCTATCTAGCCCTAGCCTTTCCTTTCATTGTAGCAGGAAGACATGAGTTGTACGCACCCACATTTCAGGACAATCATCAAGAGCCGTTGTTTGTGCAGTTTAAGCAGAAGAACACCAGAGACTGCATGACGAACGGCACAAATTTTTGAATCTCATCCAGGTAGGTGGCGTACTGACACACGTGGCTGTTGGGGTGGTAGATCACCGCCAGCAAGGTGACAAGGACACCCATGCCCGCACAAACTCCGGCCTTCAGGTCGGATCTGACTTTCGCCAAAGCCTCCGTGCAAGTCTTCGAGCCTATCTCGAGCAACGTTCGCCACCACCGAGCATCAACCAGGATGCCCAACTGAGCGTCACAACCAAGGCCTCAACCTCGAACTTCATCGTGAGACCGGCTGGAGCGCTCCACAGCTCCACAGCTACGTGGGCCGGGGCCAGAAACGGCCCTAAGCGGCGACCTGTTGATCAACGACCTCACCAGGATGGAACATGGAAAGCTCCCGTCGCAAGGACGCAGTCGTTCGGTCGGAGGCGCCCACCGAACGAACCCACCGAACCCGCAGGCCGAACCCGATCCCCGCCTACTCGGTAGGTGTCCACGTGGAGAGGTCCCTTGAGCTCTCCAGTGCCAAAGACGATGTCAATGTCCGAATCGCTCTCCTGCAGATGTGCCCGGGCCTCCCGGGGGGAAGAAGAAGCCGACGTAAAACCTACACTCCCTGGAACTAACATGGTTACGTGGATGGCCTGGCCCCGCCCCGTAAGGAAGACAATTTTCCACTACAAACAGGTGGCTTTCCACTTCCATGTTAGTTTTCGGGAGTGTAGGCCTTTACTTACTTCAGTGAACTAATATGTTTCTGTAGGATCGGATCAACTTCAGAAAAATGAGGTCTTTGACCTGTGGGGGCTTAAACCCTACATGAAGCTGTAGGCGAAGGAAAGGGGGCATTGGAACAAGGGAGTTCTTGACCAATTCGGTCTGTCCTTTTCGGTTTCATCCGCAACCTCTTCGGATTCGAACCACGCCCTCCGCCCGCCCTCCGCCCCCCGCTCGGCCCGTCCATGCCATCTTGCAGGAAGGCCTCCGAGGTCACCGACTTCGCCTCAGAGGGAAACAACTCCCAGCATCGTCCACCAGCAGTACCACCCAGGAAAATTCACATGGAACGTGACAACCACGTCGGGTTGTAGAGGAAAATCGTCTTCCAGGCTGGTCCATGCCATCAGGTTCCATGTTAATTTCCCCGGGTGTAGCCGAGAAAAGCCGCCCTTCTTCCATCATTCATGATTTGGGGTTGAAACCGTTCCTATGCTCTCACCTAATACCGCCTTGACCGCCCTTCGCAGGTCGCACCCCCGGTTCGCACCCCTTCCTTGACACCCCCTTGCCCATGTCACCACCACTGCCCTTCACCCGGCAGAGCCGCCACTCCGGTTCTCGGCATTCACCGCCGCAGGACTCAACCAGCTCCGGCAGGCCGAAGCACGGCGCACGGCGCACCGCCGAGGACGTATGGAGTCATTCCGAGGCACCGGATCGTAGAACTTCTCGGAGCCATCCCTGTCGCAGGGAGAGGCCTGCGGAATCGGTCGCGGATGAAGCGGGGAGGTCGCGGATGGAAGGCCGCGGGGAGGTCGAAAGCAAACAAGGATGAATGTGTGTGGGATCTTTCCGAAGGTAAGAATCTGTTGAAGCGAAACTGCAAGAATATCCAAGGGAGCTTCATGGCTACTCGCACGTGACTAAAGACACTGACATGGTGAATTAGTCCAACTTGAAGAGACTCAAAGAGATTCTCTGCACCAGGCACCGGCCTTGCACAAAACTGATGCTATCCATAAATTCGTGCTTCCAGTATCAAAGACCACACGGGCCTCAACGTTGGAACAGCCGTGGACACTGGGCATTTGGAGTGAACTCAGGTTTTACGGAAAACTCTCCCCAACCGCCGTCGATGAACTGACTGGTGGTGGACTTCACCACCTCCAGTGGAATCAGGGGTGGAACCTTTCCCGATCGGTTTCTGGATGGTTTCTTATGGCGAGACGCTCGAAAGAGCTCAAGGACCACCCTGGTAGCTCAAATGCATGCGCGTCTAGCGTGGGGGAAACGTGTCAAGGTTCTTGGCACCCCTTCGGTTGGACGGCCAACCACGCGAAGCAAACAGACCCCACAGCATCCCAACAGCCACGTTCGTCATGACCTTTTGGACGATGTGAACGTGCGGAGGCCAAGGAGGATAGATTCGGATAGATCAGGTCAAGCAAGATTGGGTAGCGGAACCCAGGAATCGTCTCATTTTTGTGTGGTTTTTCTTCACTAGATACTGGAGACGGACTTCTAGCAACAATGGCAGTATGATTTTCACTGAAAAGGCACTACTGGCATGTGGTCAAGTGCCCAAGCCTTGACATCTATACATTCTACTTCTATCCTATCTGAAGTCTCTGCAGACCCCCCCTTGATGCACCATCTTGCGCAGGCGATGCTAGCTATTGCCTGCAGCCAGGGCTCCTCAAATTGCGCTCCTCCGTCCGAAGCTGTGCCCACACCGATGAGTCCAGTATACTCTGAAGACATATCCTGCATGGGCTGAAACGGACTAGCAACAAAAAAACACATGAACCTCGACCTTCCTTGACCTCTCTTGCTGACAAGCCCAAAACATGGTCCTACTCTTCCACCCAAGTAAAATCACACAGCATCGCCCCGTCTAAAAACCTACACATCTGTGTGTGTGTGCGTGCTTACGAATATCCGCTGCCCCCCCTGAAAGGTCAACCCTTTCGTGCCTGTTTTGTGAGCATCAGAGTGTCTTCTAGATATGAGACACGTCAGCAGGCATGTTGAAAAACATGGTCACGATGAAAGGGTGTGCAAGAGATGGAGTTTGTTACGGTAAATGAAGGTTGTTTCTTGTGGATGTGAGATGCGAATCATTCATTGCTGCTCCAGATGTGTTGAATTCGTCATCAGTTTGCCAATGAGTTCCAGAACTTTATCTCCGGTCTTCTTCATTCTGGGTTCATTGCCATAAAAATCATTCCATATAATTATCCAACGCCCACTTTTGATGTAGCGCTTTACCTTGATGACTTCTTCAAATGTGGCAACGTTCTTCATGGCATGTTGGGGGGGCCGGTGAGCCATTGCAAACATTGTCAAACGGTTCCTCTTGCAAAATTTATTCCAAGTAGCACCTGGATCCAGATCTATTTAAAAAAATACTCTTGAATCCAGAGTCTCTCCTAGTCCGAGCTCCTGGATGCAAGAACTGTCTTAAGGTCTTGAATCATGAATATCTGGTTTGCAAACTGTTGAATGTTTCCTGACTTCTAGAATGTACGCACTGTAGATGTACAGAGATTACATACATGGCCAATGGTGCCCACAGATTATATACGCTTGATCCTACGCGGCGACGCGTCTCCAGCCTCCAGTTGGGTGGTGAGCTGAAAGCTCTTCGGTGCGCCGTGCGCATCGACCTGCACGTTCATCGATGGCCGACGAGGCGTTCTTTGGTGCATTTGGGAGGTGATGAAAGCGGTTTCTGAGGCTATATCAGTTTGTTGCATCATTGTTTGGCTCCCATTCAGAGGAGGAACACAGGTTCCAACACACCCTCACACTGGTTTATGAGTCTATGCCCTTTAGCGTCACGAAATCTGGGGACGTTGTCACACGGCTGTCACACCTTCGCCGACTCGACGGACCCGAGGCCGTCGCCCAAACCATCACCTCTTGAGTTCGATCCAAACAGAAAGGCGAACCGAATTTGTTTCTAGTGACAAACAACCACTTTTAACATCGGTGGGATTTTTTTCAACATGTTGCCCTGGCAAGGGATGTTTTGAGCGTAAAGCCAAAAACATTGCAACAATGCAACTTTAAAATTCTAAGTCATGAGTTAGAACATTGAGGACAATTGTTTTTTAGAACTTTATCAATAAGGGGTATGAACATGAGAGAATGCACAGTTGATGAATACACGTTGTGGAGATGCGCTTGTCTGCAGACTTTCGGTTGCACGCTGCATGCTTAACAATGATGTTCTAAGTAAGGGTTGATGTTCTAAGGAACGGGTCTTTGAGCATGTTTTAACTCAATCACTTGGCACATGGCCATGTTCTAAGCATGGCTTCGGTAAAAAACATCCTTTTCTATTCCAAGTAAGGGTTACCGGCTTTGGAAACTTTCTCTGTTCTAAGTGGCTGTCCGTCACTATAGGGGTTTCCTCCAACCCCAATAGGCTCAAGGTTGTCAACTTTTCCTGACACATGTGTGGCGCCTCTTGCAAACAGAGTCAAAAAAGTGACCCAAAAAAACATGGCCTCCATTGAAGAATGGCACGCCCCATGGCGCAACCCCGATCTCCTCAAGCGATGCGTCAACGCCTCAGCCAATGTTCACGTGCTGAAAGAAAGGCCGGAGATCCGAGTCCTTTTTGGTGAAGCCTTCCTACAAAAAACCAAAAACACCGCATATTGTTCAATTCTCTCCTTCCCCGATGATGTGGCCACAGGCTTGGAAGCTTCCACACCTCCAGGCCTGGACGCTTCGAAGCTTCGACGTTTGGCAGCTTGGCACCGCTTTGCGGCTTCGAAGCTGACACCAGGTTGGCGGCAGCAAAAACGTCTCTGCTGCTGCGAGGACGGCCTTGCCCCAACTCTGTCCGTCCCCCTTCTGCGCTGGCAAGGACCAGGTCGTGGGCCGGTGTGAGGTCGAAGATGATGAGGTGGTGTTTTCCGCTACGTGGAAGCCTGGCTCCTGCAGTTCATCTTGCTGGCAGTCGGCCAGTTCATCATCATCTTCCTCTGCACAGGCCTGTTCAAAGTCACGCGCGCCGTTATACGCTTCATAGAGCTATTCACAGGCGCCGTCCTCGTCGTCCTCATAGTTGGGCCATGGACTGCGCCCGCCCTTTCCGACATGTTGAGCAAGGCCAACGCGTCCTCGATAGTCTGGACACACTGCGGCTGCACAAGCTGCTTTTGCTCCTGAGTGTCGGAGGAGCCATCCCGTCACCTCAGAAGGCAGCTTGATGTTGCGCCTCATGAAGTGAGTGCTTGCTCTCCTCAACAGGAGAGGTTGAAGGCCTGTGGCTGCTCCACTTGATCATCATATTTGAAGGCGCGGTCGTGGACTTGGTGCAAGTGAATCTGGGATCGCCGCCCCCGGTAGTCTGCAAGTCAATTGCTGAAAGTCGGCACCCCAGATTCTTTTGTCGAGTCTGTGGTGGCTTGTGATGAAGACGCAATCCTCGATGTCAATCTCGTAGCCACGGCTAGCGGGGCACCGGAGCGATGGCGCTCCACTACCATTTTTTTCACATAGCAACTGGTGTGAGACAAGTTGGAACTACGTGGAAGGGCCTCACGAAGTGTCCTTCCCAAAAGCAAAGCGCAGCGCGACCTTGTCGCACTCAAGTAGCCATGTGGCGCGTCAGGCGCGCACGATCCCACCCATCTAGGTGGAAGGTTGAAAAAGGAAGGGCGGTTTGGGCCCAGATGTGATACTTAACACTCAATGTCTTGCACAAATGTACTCGTACAGTACCTTCCAAAGGACTCACCACCCATCAAGCCCCCTTCAGAAGGTTCGAATTCGCTACGGGCCTTTGATGAACCCCTTGCCCAAGCAAGCAACAACACAAACTGTGATGTCCGAATGAAGTCAAGTGTCGGTGGTGTGATCAGCAGAATGTCCAGCGTGAAATTCCAGTCCATTCCTGACCTGCCACAAAAACGAAGCCATGATCGTGGTCATTTCTGAGGCCGTCTAGGGATCCACGGGGTGTGCCACGTGAGACCGGTGCTTTCATGGTGCCTCAGCAGCAACCTTTCATGGTTCGTGGTGATCCATGGTAAAGGAATGACATCGATGGATCAAAGCAAAAACCTGTCTGCAACCAGAATTCGCAGTTTCAGCGCTGTGTAGATCATGAGATCATGTTCCTTCCATGCACAGTATATCAGAAGGGCTTGAAGGACCCTGACATCGTGAGCGAAGTTGATCCAAGTTGTGGCCTCCGCCGACACTCGAGCGTACATGAGCATGTTCGTCCTTTGCAGACGCATTCATTTTGGACAAGCACTGCTACTGACCGAGAATGATGATTCCTTTTATAGATACCTTGGATCGGTGTGATCTCAATTGATTGTTGCACGCAATTGAAATAGTCCAGATCCTTCCAGATGGTATGCAAAACAGGCGGGCCATGGTCAACAAGCTATTCTATATATACAGGGGAGAGTATTGGCAATGCTCAAGACCAGAAGCCAATGCCGCCTGACTTCCAACCAAAACTTGCTGGGGAGGGACAGGCTCCAGGCGCTAGAAGAACAAACCAAAGTCAGGGAAGGTCAGAAACCGGTCCAACCGCCAGTCCCTTAGTCCCTGCGAGCGAACCACGGGTGTCTCACACCTCAATGCCGTCGCTGCTCTTGAGCTCGATGGCCTGCGGAGGTTCGCGTTCGCGTCGAGTTCTTCAGCCCCAATCCGACGCTGGAGCTCCCATGCACAATGGATAAACACACCGCAGGGGGAGCTCCGGAAGGAAGGAAGGTGCCATGTAAAAAAAAGTAAAACCATCGCATCTGAGCGTTTTCCAAGGTCCATCGGAGTCCATCACCACTTGCACGCTACAGAAGTGCCCCCCGCTGGCTCCATCCGAAACAACGGTCCACCGACCCGGGCAGAGCGGTCCGCGCGCCCACCCAGCACGTCCCGACCGAGCCGGCTCGGCTCGCCCACGGCTCGTCGCCTTGGAGGAGGCAAGTAGCCTTGGAGCCCGAGGGCCATCGTGGAGGGTTCCACCCGGGCGGGTTCCACCCAGGCGGGTTCTTCCACTTGGATTTTGAATGATGATATGGTTCAATCACACACTGCGGTCCTATCAGAAACAAAAATTCATGAAATGCTCAAGCACCAAATCACAGCCAAGAAGCCAGAGAAGCACGAGCGGAGGCAAGTTGCCTTGACTGTCCCACGGATGTTCATCAAAAAAAGGTTTTTACGCAGTGCTGGTTTCTTTCACACCCGCAGTGCTTGCTGAGCCCGATTCTCCAAATGAAACAGGTGGCCATCGACTGTGACCGATCCTAGTTGACCTACTAGTGACCGATCTCATACTACATGCCTCCGACCACCTGAGACGCCGACAGTTGACCCTTTCAACAGGCACACAGTCCATCGAAAAGACGTCACCCACACAAGTCCTGCCTACCAAATGCATGTAGCCCACATGGCGTGCCAGGAGAGGAAACACCTTGCAGCGGACGACGACCCAGCCCATGGATTTCGCCATCGAATTGATTCAAAGCCCTGGAGCAGTCACTAAAGTCTCTCTGCGCGCGTCCTCTGGGTGGCCGCACCATGTGAGGTGGGCCTCTAATTGAAGGACACAGGGGGGACCCGAAAATCTCTCGGGGCCCCCCTTTTGAGCCGACAGAAGCCACGGTCATCACGGTCAGCATGGCTGAAACGTGGTCCCCACTGGCCCCCCAATCCCGTTGGCCTCTAAATGATATGAAAACGCGTGCGTTACCAAAACACCTGCTTTCCACCGCAAGCTCTAAGGGCTTCACATGCCCTGGCCACACATCCATAAGCTCGCAGATCAGGGCCACGCCTGTGAGCCGCATCGCACAGGCACTCCAATTCAACCCCTGCCGCATCACAGTGTCACTGCAGCCTCTACACGACAGCCAACGCGCCTCCGAGACCACATCACCTCCGGACCAGTGCGGCTGGCATGTTCAAGAGGGAAGAACATCTTTACTCAAGGCTCGTCGACCCAAAAACACATGAGGTCCAAGTTGAACATCTGCAAAAACAACCCAGCTCTGGGCTCCATCTCAACGTCTCACCGTCGCGTCGCGGTGTTCTCCGCAAACCTCGACGCGTCGCCTCCAAAAGGCTCAAGCAGACCTCCCAGGTCCCAGCACCTCCACGACGGGAGCGGCGGTTTCTCGCGGCGATCCGACGAGTCTGGACTGAGGAGCCCACTTTGCACGCAGGCAAACATGGCCTGCGGGAGCAGAACATGTTACAGCACAGCTGCACACCGCATCGAAGTGATCAAGAATTGGAGAGAAAATCCATCAAGGGAAGCTTCTATCAATCAGAGAATCAAGAATGGACAGAAAATTGAAGGAATATGAGAGAAATCATCTCAAAAACCTCCAACTGTCAGTCCATCGTGGTCTTTTTCAGACCTCCTATTGGCCCGCGGTCGAACCCTTGGTGGAAAACGGTGGCCTCCGAGTAGCACTCCAGGTCTGGCGACGGTCGTCGCATGGAGGACAGCAGCCTTCAGGCCATCGCCAGTCCAGGGGAGCTATAGAATGCATGATAAATTCTAATCCATTAACATGTCCATTTGGGAAGATGGCCATATAGCCCATAGCCTTCCCTTATCCTTTCAGCTCCGCAAAAGCCGCTGGAACACTTGAAGCGTTTGAACTTCCTTTGTTCCTGCCACACGTGTTAGGGCAAACAGACTCTGGTTCAGATTCGGTCACATTCAATTATAATTAGATGCTTAGTGTTCTAACTCCAGACTCCAAACTTGTTCCTGTTCAAATCCCTTAGTCTTCTGGCCGAGATCTCTGGTCCAGTCTTCAATCCATCCTATCTGGGGGTGTTGGCACTCGCCCTTCAAGTTGCCCGCCCACAAGCTCCACTCAGCCACGCCACCAGAGACAGCACTCCCATCCAGCACAAGCCACCGCAGCCTCAGCGGTAAAAAAAACCATGTGGGCTCCACCTGAAACCCTGTCATTCACTTCTGGCCAATGGCTAGGCTATGCACAGTGAAGCCTTTGCTTCAAATGGGAACTCTGGAAACATTGCCAGAGTTCCAAGATGTCCATAAGACCTCCAAAGCGATGATTTGAGGGACCTCCCAAATAAAATATCCACGTCCATCCCCACCTCGCCGGTGGTGTGACGACGACTTCAGGCCGTCTCGATTTCTGCCTCTGCAACATGGTCGGCGGGAGAAAACCCGGATCGGCCAATGGGGCCACCAGAACTCATGTTCATGAATCCAAAGATCCCCAGTCTTCCGTTGAAGAGGTGCTTCGATTGACCAACCACCAGTCACCAGGGTAGCTTGGAGGACCAAGCGAACCGCGAACCGCCAGTCGCCCTCCTATCTAGGTGCAAAAAGCGCCCGCTGAGGCCTCCAGCGATGGCAGCGCGGAAGGAACGCACCCCCACAGTCTGGGCCTCCACCGCCTGAAGTCACCACGAGGCTCCACGGCTTCCGCGCGGAAGACTTCGGCGCGGCGTGACCACCCGGGGAAAGACTCCGGAGGGCCATTCGTTTTGGAGTGCCGTCGGTGACAGGTGTGACGTCAAGGCATTGATCCAGGCTTTTCGTGCGGTGACAGGTTTTTGACACTCAGCAGCAAAAACAGGCGCTTGACACCTCTTCAGGCTCGTTGACTTCGTTTGTCTTGCACTGCTGTCTCTGAGCATCCCAAAGGTAGACAGGATGAGTCAACTAGATGTCAAATAAAACTATAAAACACTATGAGACAAGGTGGGGTGACATGAAGTAGGAGGACGTGTTTTGAAGCCAAAGTAATTCCTCTCTTTTGCCGAGGTCCCGCCTGCCCCGAGGGAATACTCATCAAAACCATCCGTCTTGTCACGCTGTTATGTCAAATTAACTCCCCTGAGCTCACGCTCCTCTCCTGGAAAACTCGTGTCGATTCTTCTCGGAACGATACTCTGGGCCACGACGCGGATCGCAAGACACGAAATCCCGCTGTCTATTTCACCAAAAGAGACAAATATATACATCTTCTCGATATGGCATCCCATCGGTATAACCTGTCAGGAGTCACTTGTGTTCTTTTCCATCACTGTAGACCATCGAAAATGAATCACTTCTATAGTCCGACTCCCACCTAACCTGATACCCTACCTTTCATCCTGAACCATGCCCAGGTGCTCATTTCATGTCGTGTCTCCTCCCTTTTCAGCCTAAACGCTCATTCCGCACCACAGCACCCCATGCACCCCATGCACCCCGCAGCGCCCAGGACCTGCGCCAGAGCATTCAAGGCCAAGGACCAGCGGCCTCCACGGCCGGCCGCCGTGATCACCTGGGCGGACGGCACGGCACTGGCGCGGTGGGGCCGATCTCGGGGAGCGTACCCTTTCGGTTGGGGAGTGGCTGCCAGTTGTTCGCCGGTGTGGGACGAAAAGACAAACGAACATTGAAAAAAAATAATTAAAGAAACATGGAAAGCTGAGATCGAAAGAATTTGGAAGGTCGGGAAATCCTGACGTTGAAGAGGGAAACCATCCAAGCCCTTGATTGCGAAGATCCTCTTGACAACCCACTGGTGCAACTGGTGCAACTGTCCCCCAAGTAGGGATGCTCAACATGTCGGGGTCCCAAAACTTGAACAGAATGGATTAGCAATAAGTTGGAGAGAATGAAATGGTCATCAGAGACTTCTCATGAATTCTCTCGTCCCGTCCCAACTGTCCAGTCTCCTTCCTCTCCTCTCCTCTCCTTCCTTCGTCCTCTGTACTGCGGCGAACATGGTCTCCGCCCAGCCACGGTGTTCTGCGCCACCGCATCCAGCTTCAAGCCTGCCTGCACGGCCTGCGACAGGTCAACCAGACGACACTCCCGCTCCTTGGGTTCGAGCACTCCCAACTCCAGGAAGGAGGGCCGGAAATGGTGAGCGGTTCGGGCGGTTCTCGGGGCGGACGGGAGATATCGTGATCCTTTTGGTGCGGACCGGAGACGGTTTTTTCAAGCTTTGCCATCCCGAGGCAACAATGGTGAACGAGCACGTTCATGTGGTGGCAACAATCATGTCTGCTCTTCCAATGGTGTCTACAGGTCTGGCGCCTCTCATCCACCAGGCCAAGCACAAAAATGGGATGTTGGGGTGACCAGACTGGTACAGAAAACCACCGTGTTGACGCCCACGTGCCACACGGGCGTCTTCGATCCCATCCGGCGACCGGTTGGGACGGTCTGGAGGCTCCGCCTGCACCAGCAGCTCCAGGGTCTTGGGCCAATGCCGCGACGCGGCGCTGCTGGCACCTGGGTGGCTCCACTGGCTCCACTGGCTCCACTGGTTCGGAGGGAGGAAGTGATCCGGATCCAAATCACGTGAGGCCGTTTTGAGGCCTTTTTCCATGTCGATGGTCACCCAGCACCGGTCACCCCAGGTTTTTGTGTTGGTCGTCTGTCATGACTCTGGTCGTCTGTTCACATCATTGAAGATGTCGGTTTGAGGTCGGAAACCTTGGCATCTTCGCTGTAAATCGTTCCCAAGTTGCGGTGGACGGCAGCTCTACCAGTCAGACTAGTCGTCGTGTTGACTTTTAATCAACAAAAAACATTATTCTTAAAAAAAAAAATAAGTAAATAAACATATCATATGGTGAATGTTTGACCATCTGACCATCCGCCAGATCCAGAGCTAATTGTCATATACTAACTTGATATTGATCGACAGTCAACAGTAGATCAAAGACATCCTCAGGGTCCCGGTGGCACCGCCGCCGCTCTACAGAACGACCGCTGCAAGACCGGCCAGGGCGCTGCTCACCAGCACGGTGCTTGGCTCCAAGCGCAAACGTTGGACCGTGTCCTACCGCGGTGCTTCACCCGTTCAGCGTTGGCTCAGCGGTGTGATCGTTCTGCCCTTTTCTCGGGCAACCCGCTCCCCATCCTGGGAGCCAACGTCGACATCACACCATGCAAAAGGTTACTCGATTGCACCCATTGACTCGAAAAGATTAATGGAATCTGACCCGGAATCAAGATCAAAAAGGTCATGATTGCATGATTCACTAACTGCTCCTTTATCGATGGCTCTCTAACCATGGATGGCCTCCCAAGTCCGATCCCTGTCCAGTAGAGCAAAGGCATGCTCCCACTGCTCCGCATCCTGATCTGGGGCAAGCGGTGTTTTTCGCTGTCCGGAAAGAGCAAGCGACATTCAAAACCCGATCGAAAAACCTCTGGCCAACTTTTAAGGAATTAAGGAACCAAACTGTCATACATCCGATGAATTGATTGCAACATATTGCAACTACAAGTTCAATATCGCAAACAAAAAGAACGCGACACTCTGACTCATCTTTGCTGTGTGCTTCACTCATTGCAAACAACAGCAGAGCGCCAGCTAATTGACATATTTCTAAGATATCTGGTTCTCGTGGGGGGCCAGACCTTGATCTTCACTGAATCTTCACTCAAATCCCAAGATGGAGGAGGCCATTGACTCAAGACACCTCCCCAGCCCACGTTCAAACCGACGAACACCACCCCCCCGACCACGCCGGCGGTGTCAGGCCTCACAGGCCGCTAGGCCGTTGTTGTGCGCAATGAGGCTCTGCTCTAAGCCTCGCACCACATGGTCGAGCCGCTGAGCGCCGCCGTCTCTGCCGCGTTTGGGGTCAGTGGGTCCCCCACCCCCCCGCCGAACCCCGCGCTATAGCGTCCCGGTCGGTCGCAGGAGGCCTCGGTCCAAGGCCTCCTGCAACAGGGCGGAGCTCCAACGCCACTGGCGGCGCGCACAGCTCACGGCGGCCTATTGGGATGGAGGAGGAGGAGGAGGAGGAGGAGCCTCTCATACACGCTCACTAATGATGCTTGTAGCTTCCTATCCTATCCATTCTTTTGTGGAAAAGTAAGGATATTGCAGTCTGATGAAACACCTCCGCCGGTGGGTCCCGTCAGCATGGGACAGACCTTCCGCCTTTTCCCTACGAGTTAGTTACTACCAGGACCCTCCTGGCCAGGCTGTTTGGAGACCCTAACAGGTGGTGAACCTGGGCACCTGTTGTCACCAGGAAACACCCGGCCAGGAGGGTCCAGGTAGATTGATCTGAATCCAGCCGCATCTCTCCTTCTCTCAACCCGTCCCAATATGCTTTCCCACGACAAAAGTTATTGGGGCTCGATCAAATGCTACCACAGGTCATCACTCTCACTTTGCACCAATCAATCAAGTGCCTGAGCTCCGCACTCCAAACGCCACAATGTTCAACTCAATCGCCTTGCGAATCTGAGCAAAAAAAAGGAGGTCCCTCACTTCGTCTGCATCTCTGGGTGACACCCATCCACCAGTCGTTTCCGCGGTCACCCCATCCTATAGCCGTCTCCGCCGCCTCCACGTGCGCCTCGCGCAAGAGGCCCAGCGCGGCAGCCCAGTGGTCCGTCTCCTCGACCGGATGGGCCCACCGTGCGGTTCGCGGACGACCCGAAACAGCACGCGGGGGGCGGCCGCGAAAGGGCGGTCGCTTCACCAAGCGCTTTTCGAACGTGAAAAGGACAGTGGACCATGTCAATGGGCTTTTAAGCCCCCAAAAAGTTCCTCTTTTGGGCAATCGAAGTTGATCCAAACCTTCCAATGGATCTTGAGATATCGCCTTCGAACCGCCGCGGCCGTCGGCCCGGTGACCCCCGCGACCTCCAGGGCTGAGACCACGGTGCTGACCGTCACCACATCCTGCCGGGTCGGCGGCCCGTGACCCGGTGACCGGCTCGGTTCGGCTCCGAAATGGGTCCTTCCGGACGGAAGAAAGCGGAAGGTGCGTCAGAAGCTCCACTGCACAGGGCCACCTGAAAACCAGGAAACACCCATGTGACACCTCGCCACCAAAACAAGATTCCATTTGCTGTTGGAGAAAACCTTGGCAGATCAGGTGCTGCAAAAAGCCATGAAGAATAACACGAGGATAGCGCTTCACAACCCCAAAAATGTTGTTCAAGCCAAGCCACTGAGATGCACGGCGGCAGGCTTGCAGCACCAAATTGTAACCTTGGCAGTTCATGATCAACGGCTCATCGCTTCGGATCTGACCTTTGAAGAATACCTTTTGTTCAGGACAGGACACCCAATGGCTCACTTGTCTTCAATGGCTGGTCAAGTTACGCGTCCAAACCCTGTTGGAATCCAAGAACCTCACTCACGATGTCAGGCTGAACGCGCTGTCTGCGGGAGCTGAACCTCAAGACAGCAAGACTTGCAACAGATTGACATACGTACCGCTTGAGCTGTCCTTGTGCATGTTTCAAAACCTGCAACACAACATCTGCAGCCCATGTGGCACATGCAACTGCAAAAGCCCACAAAAAGCCAAGTAAGTCTGGCACAAGAGCGTCAAGGCTTGCTTCCAGTCACCATGACGAATGCATTCCTTCAGTGCCTTGGGCTGGTTCTGTTTTGATTCGGAGCAAATCTGTGTATACATGGGGAACGAGAGGAGACCCAAGATTCATTTCTTCTGCATGGGTTTTGATTCCTCATTTAGCCACTCATCTTCTGTAAAGGCATAGGACGGTTCTAAGTCGACGGCAGCATGGCAAGAGGCAACTGTATGCAATGCCTTCGGACTTTCTGCCATGCGCCATCCACCAGAAGCGTTGCATGGCAAGAATGATGTGATCGCAGTCACAAAGCCCCCAGAAAACAAGTTGAGAACTGGTTGCTGTTCAAATCCAGGTTTTTATTGACAACGCAACCACACTGTTGCAAACACCATGTCGAAGCTCCCACACCCCAGGTCACAAAACCCGGCCGGCTGCTACGACCGGCAAACAGCAGCGACTGCTGACTTAGAGCCCTGACCGACCGGTGAAGAACACCGAAGCAAATCATCAAGATGAAGCCTTCACGGAGCTCGTTTTTACTTCTTCGTTTTCTAGAACGGCCACCTTTCCACCGCTCGCTCGCGAGCCTAGTCAGGCGATCAACGAAGACAAGCTTGGGGAGCGATCAACGAATGGCCCAAACCGTCTGCTTTTGATGGAAAAAGGTACGACATGCCACAACATGTACTGGAATCAAGCTTGTTCTCACAATGGAATTGAGTAAACATCCTTTCTCTTTCAGCAAGAAACACAGCAAAAACACAAAACAGGCGACCAATAACTCTATCATCAACCAACAGGTGCGGGCAAACGTATCCATGTAAACCTGGTGCTTCCCAAACAACATCGGCGACAGAACGGGTGCGCATGGCACTGTCGCAACTTTTCCCACACATTCGACAGCTTCAGTACGTTCACTCTGCAGTACGCACCCTAGGAAGTATTGAAAATCCGCCTAATATGGTGCGGAAGATGAGTTCCACTTGCACCTGTGTTACCATGTTTCTCTCTGCGTGTTCCAGTTTCATACACAGCCATCAATGTCTGGAAAAACGGTGATCGCCTCCACTTCTCCCCAAAACGATTTCGCATCCATGGGCCGGATCCCTTCCAGCGGCCCATCCTTTTCAACCCGATTTAATCAGGTGGAACTGGGGGGTCTGCAGGACGAATCGACCAGCTCATCGGTCGATGGAAAAAACTCATCGGCCGCACCCCAAAGGCCCTGGCTGTGATGCGAGAACTGGGCGAGCTCTCGAGAGCTCGTCCCAGATTCGTGCAGGTCCGCTTCCCGAGCGGCGGCTCAGAGGCTTTCCAGAGGCTTTCAGTTGGGCAGTTCGTTCTCAACACCTAGCCTAGGGATGCCGAGACGAATGGCCAGTGATGAGGGTTTTCCACCAAGAGTGGTGTCTTTTTATGTATAACAGAAGCTGTGGTCCAGTTGGCCGACGGTTCCTTCGCCATGTTGCGTTGGATTTCGCGACCGACAGAGCACCGGCTCGGTGCCCAACAAGGACGGCGCCCCAGGGCTGAAAAACGATGACTCCAAGCTCCACCAAGGTCCACCAAGCTCCACCCACTCTTTCGATACTCAAGGCTTTCTTTGAAAAGTCCTATGGATGGGGAGAAGAAACAAGAAATTGTCATGGACCTGGAGCGCTGTTGATGGTGGCCTCAAATTGAAGGGACCTTCAGCCTGCTGTTGTGAATGAAAAACACCTCTGACCCCATCCCTCCATCAAGGTCTTTCACACACAATCGGCACGTTCCAAAGACACAGATGGGTCTTGATGTTTGCTCAAGCCCACAAGCAAACGCAGGCTATAATTCGCCTGACTCATCTGTGCACACCAGCTGTACTTCCAACTGAATTGCCCTTGCTCGAAGCTTTTTCTTCTATGACCGGGCATCGGATATGAATTTGGTGCATCATCCAACAATCAGGAGTCGGACACGAGGAAAGACCTCAGTGAAACTGCAAAACCTCGAGCCAACCAGAGCGCAACGATCTGTCATGCGGTGGAGACCTTCTTGTTAACACACTTCGCATCCCCATGTTTGCAACTCTTAGTCGACACATTCCCTTCCAAATCCCGCTCCTCCGAGCCCCTCCTCCCCCTCCCCTTCCGACCCCGCGCCGGCCTCATGCGCTTCAGGCGCCGGCCTCGGCAGCCTCCACCTCCATCTGCGCCTCCACGGCCCTCTGCGCCGAGCTGAGCTGTTGATGGTCACGGAGCTTCTCGAAGCAGGCCTCCGGGTCCAGAACGCGAGGCCCGGATGGTGCAACCGGTGATGTTCGGGTGGAGGTCATTCGGTGAGAATCCGGTTAGCCATGAATCAAAGATCACTCCATATGTATATTATATATATATATATGGCGCATCTGATGCCCTGCCTGAAACCTTTTCCATCCCAATTCCTACTCGAGGTATGCACGCAAAAGACCGTGCATGACGTGTGTTCTTCTCTGTCGGGCTCTCATTGAACCCACTTCCTGAGCGAACCCCTAAGGCCCAGTGGAAATCCTGTATAGCTTATGTGTCATATCAGCATATATCAAAACTTCCATGTAGAATCTTATGAGCGTAGCTGGATACCAAACCCCGTTCTTTTTTCACCTCCTGCTTCGTTCCGGGCATTCCCACGTTCGGCCGAGCCGCCCAGTTGTAGTTCTTGAAGCTCTCCACCTCTGTCTCGGCCTCCAGGCGCGCCTGCACCGCCTGCCGCAGCAAGGGCTCGTGCTCCGCCGCCTGGAGAACGAAAGCGATCCCCGCTCGGAACGTGTCGTTCGGCTTTTTCTCAGAAGAAAGTGTCCATTATGGTCCATGTGCCGCCTCTAAACTGCACCTGTCCTTTTGGGGCCGGAAAACGCATTCAGAGCGTTCCAAGAGAGCAGATGATACAGAATCTTTGAGGGGTCTTTTGCAAAACCTGAACTCGCATCCTTCGGACTCGCTGGCCATTCGACCGTCGAAGTAGTCAAGCCGAAGTCGCCGTTTGACTCGAAGGATAGTTTTTTTCTCATCAGGTTCTGAAGTCTACGCTGCCTGTACCAGGAGACCCTAAGGGGTGCTTGCAGACCAAAAAGCCTATCATCCCGAAATGGACGGAAGAGTCAATCGGACAACATGTCTTGAATTTGAACCTCGTCCGGACATCCATCGAATGGCTCCCAGCAAAAAAGGACCCGCATGGAACCATTTCCATTGGACCTGCAAGGAAGACCCTCTTCGTCCACCGTGGCCTCAGCGTGCGCCTGGCTCTTGGCCGTCTCGGCCGAGGCCCGGAGCTCCTGCGACCACGCACAGTCCGCCGGTTCCGCCGGGCTGGGCTGCGAACTATGGAGGAGCCAAGACGAACACCTCAAAAAAGAAAGAACTGTGCCGTTGACCAACATGATGAAGCCAGGGAATGGAAGATGCTGAAATCGAGGTGTTGGTCGTCCATGCGCAGCTTCATCCAGCAGCCTGTCTTGCGAAGATGCTCTTTTCTTAGCATGACGGTCAACTGCTGAGTTGCTGGGTGCGGAAAAATGATTCAAAATTCAAAGGGTGTCCTGGAACTCCTATGTCTCATTCCGTTTCTCACTTGTCCCAACGGACAAGAAGATAGGCCAGATAGGCACAAAACCGCACTGCAGAAATGCTCCAAAGCCCGCTCCTGAGCTGCTTTGTACTTCTCAGCCTCCACTTGCTGCTGCTCGAATGCCACTTGCAGCTCCTGCGTTCACCAAGAGAATCTGCTTCAGTGCCGCCAAACCACGAAAACGTCGAATCTCAAAGCAAAAGACGCCGGCGAATAGAGACTTGACATTGAGCTCGATACCCAATCAACAACCCTCCACTTCCCCCACCCACACTTCCCCAAACCCAACAACCCCCCCCCAAATCCTTCTGGGCCGTCTCCACCGCCTGCGCCGCCGCGGTGGCCCCTGGCTCGGACGCCAAAAGCTCCTCCTTCAGGGCGCTCAGGCGCTTGCCGAGGCCCTCCGCCAGCTGCGCCACCACCTTTTCCGCACCCGAGACCGCGGTAGGGCGACGCCGGGACGAACGGAGCGCTTGCGCGATCGGATCTTCGAGGGACCGTCGCAGATCGCAACATGGCAGACCAAAAGGCCAAAGAAGGCAGAAGGTCGTTCCAAAAAGGAGGGCGGAGCCTTTTTCTCTCTATCCCACCTGACTGTGAAAAGAAAAATAAACAAATTCCTGACTCCAGAAACCAACTCACTGCTGAAAGTTCTCCTCGAACCCCGAGCGATGAACCCTTCTCCCCGCATCCGAGCCACCATGGCGTCAAAGGAACCGCGACTGGCCGGCTCCTTCCTAGGCGGCACTCCGGTCCACCAGACGCGCACGAGACGCGCACGAGACGCTCGTCCGAGACGTCCAACGGGACGCTACACGGGACGAAGGGCGACCAAAGATACTCTGAGCGGGGAACGGGCATCGCAAGATACGAACGGGGCGGTCAGGGCCTTACTACGAACGGAAGAATGTTCGCTATTTGAAACCAGAAATTGTATACAAAAAGAGACCATGGTCTTTTGCAACTCACATACTCCTGACCACCGGCCACTCCACTCCACTCCCGGTCCAAGGGTCAGGATGGAGGTCGGCAGCGCCGTGAGGAGTGATGCTTCAAAGCCAATCTGCTTGGCCAGGGATTCCAACTTCCCATAGTGGGCCTCTCTGCTTGGCCAGTCCACAGGGGAGAAGGGAGGGGCAACACCGCCCAGGCCATGCGCCCAGGCGGTCGATGTCTGACCATCGATCCATTTGGGAAGTACCACTGGACCGGCCGTGCTTGCGACTCCAACTAACGACAACCAGCGGAGTTGAGATCCAAACTGAGTGTAAGGGACCCTCACAATATGGGCGAGTCGTGGTGCGTGCCTCTTATTCCATTTGCATGTGGCATCAATCAATGGCGACATGTTGTTCTGGGGAACTTAACCCGTACTTGATCTGCAAATGGGGGGTGAACCCTACCCAAAACAACATCAATAGAACTTATGTCTCAAACGGAGCAGATATGAGCAGGTGAAAAAAAAGTGAACATCAAACCGTGTGAAGAACAAAACTGTGCGAATCGCATCAGTGACGGGTGGATGGCCATCTGACACAAAGATTCCCTCCATCTGGCGGGAACGCCGCTCAGGTTCCAACGACCTCCATTTCGGTGTAAATACTTCGAGTCTTTCGGATGGTCGAAAACCCAAATCCCTGAAACTGCTTGGCCCCGATGGAGGAGTGCTGGGGCCGCAAGACCAAGAGCACCCGATGGAAGCGGAGAAACGGCAGCGAAACCGAAGCCAATTGGCCACCCCAATCCAAACAGGCTGAATCCAAAAGCCTGGCAATGGCAGGCCGTCCAAATAGCCCAAAAACAAGAAAAATTTGTGAATCCAAACAGGCGTTGTTCTCTCCATGCTTGGTCCACGGGTGTCAACCAGGCCTGAGCTTCCTGCCCCTGGACCTCACCGTCACACAGGAGACGAAACCTCAGGGCCCAGGTTGAGCCAGTTGCAAAATACATCGCATCAAATTGGCATAAAAGGTGTTGGAACAAAAGGTGATTTTTGTGTAAGACTGAAGAATGTAGAAGATCGGAAAAAAATAAAATAAAACACGTGTGAATTCCCGCAACCACCATGCAACAGATATGTTTATTTGTTAAATGAAAATGTGTTTTTGATGTCTCAGAATCATCAACGCTGCCCCAGTTCGATGGTTCCACCGCGATTCAATCATGCACATATTCTTTGTGGGTTTGAGTGTGTTGCGGATTGGTTGTGCACGAAAACTGCAACTTTGGCTGCGATGATAGGCGACACTTCCAAGTGCAAAAGCAACTCCATCCATCTCCCCGTCGCCAAGGTGCTCTTCGGCCAAAACAGCCCTTGGATGAACCAGGATAACTCCCGGCCGGGGCCCAGGGAATGCAGTTGCTGGTGGTGACAGTGGAGGTACATCGTTGGTCAAGCCGGAAAGTAACCCCCCACATGGCACGCCTGCCTTCAGCAGTAGATGTATATGAGTAGCCGCATCAGCTCTATGTCCATGTCCTATACCGAGCTACGCGAAAGAAAGCCGTCTTCTAGTGGTTGCTTGGAGGGCCAACCACGAACTCGCTGAGAGGGACGGTCTGCACGCAAGAGCTTGCGCAAGCGCTCCGAGGATCCTAGCGTGTGGAAAACACTTGAGCAACAAAGTTCCTCACAACAAGGGCTACTACACACCACCGTCCACAGCGCGGCACGTCCAGCGCTGGGGCTCCAGACACGATAAGAAAGCGCTCAGTTCGGTGAAAAATTGGGTAACACACCCGATCTGTCCTCAAATCGATCTGCCCTCTTTTCGTTCTCCCGGATTGCTGCAAATTAGCTCAAACATTGGTACCGCTTTTTTGTTTGTCACATTGGTACCGCGTTTTTGTTTGTCGTCGTGCGCGCCACTATGTTTTGACGACGAGCAGAAAAACACCTCTTGCCACGAAGAAAACTCAAACACAGTCAGAAAGTTCTATCTGTTCCTACATGATTCGCCGTGTAGGGTATCCAAGTAACCTTTTGGATCATGCGGTTGCAGTATGGGCCCAAAGACATCAGGCTCCTGGAGTAGTTTCCACTTTTGGCAAAAAAATATGTGCAAATTGAAATGCAACTGATTGGCTTGATTCCCTTGGGCTGAGGACTCCTTGTCCCTTTTTTGTAGGCGGGAGCATGTCGTTTACCTGCCAATTCATTGTTGAGATGGTGGAGTTGCTTAAACATCTTAAAGTGTACAGTAGGCGGATTTTTACTTCCGGACGTCGGGCGTCTTCCTGATTTGAAGCCACATACTTGAGCTCAACTCTCCAAACATGACCTGTGGGGCGGAGGATACAACGATTGGAGAGGTGTCTTCACCCAAAACTCGCTACAAATCTCCAGCCCCATTGAAAGGAGTGACCTCTGAAGGAACCAATTCACCCATGTCTTCTCCACCCCACTGCCTGCCATCCACCTCGCTCGCTCTGAAAAATCGAGCCGCTCCACTTGTGCCTTCTCCTCCAAGGCCTTCTCACGTGCCTGAGCCTTCTCCCGCTGAGCCGTCTCGGCACCCGACACCGCTGACTTGCAAGAGATCACCTCGTCGCATTCGTTCACCGATTGCTGGGAGGGCCACGAGGAATGCACAGGGTCCACCGTGATTTTCAGGACCTTCCATAGATGATGTGTGTACTTCGCGCTACGCGATGCCCCAGCTACTACGGTGTCCTTGCGACGAGCAATGCCAGGATGCCAGGAACTACGTGTCCTGGCTAATCTTAATCCTAATAGTGTGCAGAAGCGAAACAAGCAAAAACCAAATATCGACTGAGAGACGATATTGCTATATGGTCCAACGCATATCGTCACCTAGCGCGTAATTTTGCTCTTCGGCAGCACCAACCAACTTGATCTAGTTTGTCTGTCTTTGCTAGTATATAGCTTACCGAATTCAATGGAATGAACTTTCATTGAACTAACTCGATGCATGACTTGTGACACCTACTCTAAAACTTACAGTAAAGCAGGTTCACTTGTTGAGTGCATCACGAGAACCACAGACATCCATCTGCCAATATATCTCAATCTGCGGGGTGGTATCGATACTCGTCCTTCGGGATGCACCCACCGTTTTGTTGCTGTTGCTCCAGGGTCCAGTCGACCCTCAGGATACTCCCCTCTCCCAAACCCACCGTTGACCCCACTAGAGGAGACGCGAGAGTTCTCCCACCGTGGCCCGAGGGGCGGTGCGCGTCACGTCGGCCAAGCGCAGCTTGCAACTCTGCTCGTTCTCCAAGGCCGTGCCCAAGGCCTCCTCCGCAGCGTCGACCTGGACCGGCCGGGGTGGAAAAGCTGGGGTCACACGGATGGGTGAAAGACCTTTCATTAAGCACACATACATCTAACAAAACCCATCGAATCTCGATGCATGCAAGAGTTTGTAGATTTGCTTTTGGAACTTTGAACCACGCTCAATTGACTCTGTCACGTAATGATGCCTCGAGGTTGCCTTTTCCAATTTGGCAACACTGCAATGATGCAGGATGTTTGTTCGCCCAAACTTGCGGTTAATGAGATTCACCAATAGCTTTGCTAGCTCTGTTGCAAGCACCTGTATACTGTATACTGTATCCAATCCCTCTTTAATCCCTTTTGGATAAATGATGGTTCGACGTCCCAAAAAACCCGAGCCTTCAAACCCTCGATCCCAACCCCCCACCTTCAAACCCGACCCACGTCGCAACCCACGTGAGCTTCACGCGGCGCGCCTTGCTCTGCAACTCTCCCTTGGAAGCTTCAATGCGGTCGACTTCCGCAGACGCCGTGGCCAGCTTCTCCTCCGGTCGTCGTGCCGCAGCGCCGGGGAGACATGGCAACACCCCCCGAAAAAAACGGCAGGTGCTGGGACTCTCACCAGACATCTGCGAGCGACCCGAGTCCCACAGGACTTCGGACTGGCACGGACTCGGTGTTGGTCGCAGGGGTCGCTGCGTCTTCCGGTCGCACGGGCGTCTTCCTTCAGTCCGGCAAGCCTTCAGCTGTGATGTCGGTACGGGCCCAGAATCAGAGGGTCCGGTGCCCGGTACCGTTGAGGTCTTCCCTTCCCATAAATCAACCAACCCACGGCGGGCAAAAGAAGGGGAGATCCTTTTTCAAGGGGAGTTCCCCCGACTCATGGGCTTTCATGATAAGTCATGACCCACTTCAATCTTTCAATCACCTTCGGACTTTTCTGCATTCCAAAAGGATACTTTTTCGCCGAGACCTCTCCCTCTCTTCCTCTCTCTCGCCTCCAACTTGCAAATGACCTTCTGCAAGCTCTCTGAGACCATCTGCACATTCGCCGTCCTCAAGATTGGAACAACAAAAACACCAGCCAGAACAGAAGCTGGGACTCCGCACGTGTCCTACCTCCCAACAACCAGCTATGAGACAACCAGCGAAAGCATAGCCGCGAGCCAGATCCGCGCGGTGGATCTGGACCCGGACGTGGCCTGCTCCACTAGAAGATTGCCCTTGTTCCGTTCGTAGCGAACCTTGTTACTAGTAGCCATGCCAGGAGCGCCCCTAGCTTCTTGCTCCGTTCGTAGCGATGCCCTTTGTTACTAGCAGCAAACGCCATTAGACCTTTCTTTGTTTCTATTAGCGATGGTTCTCCAACTGACGAAGGACATGAGGTTGGACCGAAAATCCACTTGGACCGACAAGGTGTTTCAATAAAGGGAAGGGTCCCTGACGCATTGCTCGAAGTAGACCCGTGTTTCAAGTGGCAAAGGTTTGTCACAGTTGACTGTTCCTCAAGAAAAAACACGTCGTGTTTTTGGTGGAGCCGCGTACTTCGGAGCTCATTCCCACATGGACCACCACACACTGGCGCCAGGGTGCTGGTAGGCGTGACGCTGGTCGGCGGGCACACAAAGGCCTTCAGGGAGCATCGCGATCAGCATCTTCCGCACAGAGAGGGGGTCCTGCGAGGGGGTCCCTGCGGGGAAAACAAGGGAGGAAAACTGTTGTGATACCAAGTGACAGTTGTGGTACCAAGTGGCTGGTTGAGGTGCATCTTTGGGCTCAGGTGCAGCAGCCGTGGAGACTACCAGTAGTGGTGTGAAAGGAAAGGAATCCGGCACACAAGAGACTCGGCGAAGCCAGTGTTGAGTCAGAAAACGATGAAGCCGGTGTTTCAAATTTGGACATCATGGAGATTCTTCATGGCATGTTACGCACCTGAGGATAGATAAGCATCTCGGATGAACTCTGTCTAATATAGAGAGAGATGGGAAAAGTAGCTGGACCCAGACGATTGAGGGAAGGTCAGCTCCGCCAACAGGTCAGCCTCCGCACGTTTGGCTCCCCAATCCATCCGAGTCGTGGAGCCGCCGTCGATGCCGTCGTCCGTCGATGCCGTCGTCCGTCGGGCTTCGACGCGTGAGCCCTCCAGTCCTCAGCGACAGGAGATTGAAGCCCCTCCACCACGCCATCGTACCAGGTTTTGCTCACGCCATAGTTCTTCAAGGTCTCCTCCGATTTTCGGACGGCGCATTGGACACAGCGGCACATTGGATTCACCACCGAGGTTCCCCTCGTTGCCTGTGTTGAGATTTTTCTGAACGAATGAAAAGATTCACATCGAGGAATCGAGGTTGATCGAAAATGGAAAAACCTGTCCCGTCCCACTATGGCCTTCAGAACTTGCCGTGTTGTGGGATCCGATCCAAATTCAATAGAATACAATAGACAACGTAGATAGTAGACTCTGTAGACAGGGTTTTTTTGCACAAAAACAAACATGTTCTGGATTCACCCAAGTCCTTCTGCTCTCAGCGGATTCTGAGATGTTCTGTGGTGGATCGCGGTACCACCTCCAGGGAAGGGACCATACCCAAAAGCTAGGACCCTCCCAAAAACTTCTGTCAGAATTCAAAACATCACCTGCCTTCGGTCGCCTTCCTCACCTCCCGCCTCATCCGGTCCCACCGTTGTGCCCCCCCCCGTCTCCTTCATCTTCTTCGCCTCATCCGTCGCTGACATCGTCGCCTCCGCCGCGCGCTTGGTGCCCCTCTTCGGTGCCATCGTCGCCGGAGCAGCCGCGGTCGCTCGGAAGGTCGCGGAGGGCGCCGGTCGCTCGTAACGAGCAGATGCAATGGCTCCGGGAGTGGTGCTGCAAGGAAATGGGAAAGAGCGACTGGGAATGGTGATCCGGTCGGAAAGAAAAAGGTCTTCAAATGAACATGAATCAAGTGACTTTGCAGCTGAACGAGGGGATCACATCAGCTGAGGGAAGGAACCACCATGCAGCTGCTGAAGGAACCAAGTCACATTCAGGTGATCACCATGATCCCCATTCACCATGCTCACCGGACCCCGACAAACGAACACCAACCAGACCAACACCCAGGCGCCGAAAACCGAAAAAAACGGTGGATCGGTGGATCAGATGACATAACTCAGCCCACAAGACCCCAGCGACCCAAGCAACTGAGGCGATTCAAACAATTCTTTTTGTGACCCACTGCAGCCTAGGTACAAGCACAAAGCAGCATCCTGGCCGGGGCCTGGCCGGTCTGAGACCCAGTTGCATCTTGAAGCACGGCTTTATACTGGAAGTACTCAAACACCTACTTCCCCTTCGCAATCCTTCGCAATTCCTACTTCATTTGCCTCTTTACAACTCTTTGAGGCGCTGCAAGAAGAACTTCCATCAGCACGGCCAGCACGGCCCAACCGCCCAACCTCTGCCGGTGCGGTTCATCAGCACCTCCCCAACGTACCTCTCACAGAGACACAATGCGGCATTCCGCCTAACTATTCTTCCCCAAGGCCTTCTCAGCAAGGACGTTTGCCAATTCTCGGTGACATCAGCGAGGATGGCTTGTGTGACCTTGAACTGTGGTGTTACACAAATGTCGAAAAGTCAGAAGCTGGCATGACACGAGTAAACGGCAAATGTCATTGATGTGCCGCTGTGCCACATTGTTCGTTGCCCACTAGAGCCCGGTTTCATCAGTTGCAGTATGTCTGATATAATTAAACCAAACGCATGCACGCACTGTGGCACTGCTTGAAACCAGGGCGCCTTCCATGCGCTTTCTTCGTGTTCTTTTTTTTCCTCTTTCTTCGCGCCATAGGCTCTTGCCCGCGACTGGTGGCGTGCACCTAATTAAAATCATCCATGGAAATCGGGCCCCATTGACGCAGTTTGGTCAAAACTCCGCGTCAATTCGCTCACTGCCTGTAGAAATTCCCTCGGAATTTCTTGGCATGGGGTATCACCGTGGCCTTTTTGGCCTTCCAGGATCACGCGACAAATTGCTTTGCAGAAATCGGCTGGGTACTGCTTCAGCTCCGAAGTGCGCCAACTGCCATCTTCGTGCCGTCCAATGGCTGCATACTTCGGAAGGTCAGTCGTCCGCAGCGAATGCAACAAAGCATCATTGTCTGCTGCTCCATTTGCTATCAAAAGGCTGGTGGGCTTGCAAGCCTTCCCACCGTAGTGCCCTTGCAAAAGGGTAACTTTCTGACAGTTGCGAAAGCGGCATAGATACCGGGTAATCTCAAGCCGCCAGATGCTTGGGCTATTCTGGTGAGTGTCCCCATTAGCCGGGTGCTCCAACACACCTGTTGCACCATAGAGCAGAGAAAGGAGCATCAACCGAAATGAAATGCCCAGTAGCATACTACCAACTGTCACTTGTCTGTGTTCCTTGTACGTGAGGTTGTGCAAACCATATGGAAATCCTCTACGTCTCACTGGGCGGGGGCCACCCTGCACGTGGTTCTCTCGTGCACGGGACCACGTCTCGCAGGGTGGCCCCGCCACCCAGGCTCTCAAGATTCCAATGCGCAACGCCTCAGTAAAAAAGTGGAATGTGGTGGGGTTGTTGAGGTCTCCCCACTCACGATCGAAAATGATGTCAATGGACAATGCCATCCACGCATGCTCTTCCATGACGTATTGAACTTCGGGCGCCTGAAAAGAGATGCGCCATGACCTTGGGTCGATAGGCCATGCGGGCTGGGACATCATATCGGATTTCATCGAGTTTGTCTGATTGTCGTTGGAAAAAGTCCATCGCTGTATCTTCCTTGCGTGTGCAAGAGGTGAGGCCTGTCAGAAACCATTCGCTGCTAGCCGACGAAATGAATACACGAAAAACCATAAGATCATGGAGTGTCGTACCTTCTTCATCAGCTACACATCTTTGGCTCCATTCAGCAAAAAGTGTCAGGATCTCTTTGTGGTAAAGACAGGTGCTCAAAGTAGCCTGTCTCAAACGATCCACAAGGGCTTCTGTCCCCTTATAGCTCGAAAAGGCAGCCTGCCACTTCTCAAGCAATTCATCTTGCCACTGTTGGATCTGTGTCACAATCACTGCAATGGGCCCATCAGGAATTCTGGGTCCCTCGGATTGCATACAAGGATCCGGTAATTCTGGGCAACTGGCATTCTCTGCGGCACTGTTCACGCCAGGTTGCCGAGTCACAAAGGCTCCACGGGCCGTGTAGAAAGCCAAACAATCATGACCTCGGTTGACGTGATTGAGAAGCCCTGTACGCCGTGAGAACACCTTTAGACATGCTTCACATGTGGTGCCTATTACGAAATCTCGTGCTGGGGTAGCACGGTCGTGCTTTTTGAAAGCATGTACTGCACATGCAGCGGCTCCTGAGAAAGTGCGGCCGCAGGCCAAACAGTAGTGGTCTTCAGCAGTCAATGCAATTTCCTGGCCAGTAACTAAGCCAGCCTGCAGAATGTCCTGGTAGATCACGCTGCGCCATCCATACCATTCGAATCTTCTCAGGGCAAATGCTTTGCTTCTCGCAATGGTTCTTCGGATTACTGCTTTCCATCTCTTCCCCGCTGTTTGCAGGCATTCAGAGAAGTCAGACCATTCCGATCTAGGATCAGGCAGCTCAAACTCCGGGCAGTACATCCGCATCCACGCCAGATCCCCTTCAACTAGGGTCCACCAGCAGTGTTCCGTATTGATGAGAGACCATGTATGGTCCTCACCAAGTTGGATCAGGTGGTATAGATATCGCAGTCTTGCAACCCGCAATGTCTCACATGCTGGCAAAAGCTGGAAATCGTGAATAATCCGGTCAAGAGGCCAGTCCATCGCCTTTTTCCCAAGCGTGCAAACCCTGCCTCGAGTTGCTGCGTTTGTCTTTTTGTTGGCGGTTGCCATATTGCACAATTGAATACGATGGTTGACAACACCAGCGACTCGAAAAACTGGCGTTTCCTCTCTATTGTCATAGCACGGTTGCAGAAGATCCGTGACCGGTACTGTGTCATAATGTTGTGCGCTGCAGCAAATTTGGTTCGGAGTTCTTTTACGCATCCCACATTTGACTTCGAGCCAGGAACCCAGGTGTTTATATGTGCCCACAACACGAAGTGCGCCCTCCACATAGCTGGATGTGGTGGGGATCGTATAGTCCCGGTGGGCTATCGCTTTGCGTTGTACCAAGGATCCACTTCCTCTACAGTCAAGGATGACCTCTGACTTGCCTTTGGAAAGATTTGGCATCAGACCAGCCACTGCTAACCGGTCGAAGACAAGCCCGGCAATACGGCCAGCCATAGTGACAAGGGATTCAGCCGTCGCAGCACTGAACGAAATTGATACATCATCCGCCCAGATCGGAGCAAGAAGACCCATCCGATCATACGCGCCGTCATGTGCATAGGGGCTAGTTTCCGAAAGTATCTCCACCGTCACCTCTGGATAGTCCGCCTCAATCGTAGTGAAGATGGGGCGGAGGATTCTGTTGAGCGCAAAGCCAAAGGTCAAGTCGGCGAACGTGTCACCCGGGCGCGAGCCTCGTCGACTTTGGGTCAGCGTTGTTGAACCGTTGACTCTGAACCATGTGGCTTCGTAGAATGATTGAAACATCGCTTTTACAAAGGCCGGTGCATCAGAGTTTTGGATCGCAGGTCCTGGCTTCATCATCTCCTCAAACTCATCATACGCAGCTGGGGGCAGTCCAAGACTTTGGAAGAGCTCAGGTACAGTTCTGTGGTCAAGTTCTGCAGCTACCATGTGTCGTCGAAGGAGACGGTAGAATGCATTACTGACATCAATGAAGAGTATTCCAGAACTCCGTGCTTTCTGCGCAGCAATCTGATGGTATAATCGGATGACATGGGCAGCTTGGGTTATAGAAAACCCTGGGGTCCCTCCAATCTGCATTCGGAGCCTCACGGCCTTGAACTCCTTGACAAGTTCTTTCCGAAAAACTCCGCGCAAAGCTTTGCTAATTGGGGAGCTCACAAAGAGGCTCCGGTAGTTCCAAAAGTCAGCAACTCTACCCTTTTTGTGGACAGGTACAAGGGTCCCGCCCTTGTATATCAACGCTTCGCGCATGAACATCACCTGTTTCAGCAAAAGCGGGTAGAGAAGAGTTTTGTCGCTGCAACTGGCGCCCGATGCAGGAAATCGCCCGGCACCCCATCTTCGAAAAAATGCCTTGGCGACCTTCGTGGAACGGAATTGATGTTCAATCTGCCAGAAACTGGGTAGATCGTCCCATTCTGGTCTGAGCTTCGGGGTTTTTGCCAAAGAATCACAGAGTGCCATAAGCTGAGTTGGCATCCTGTCAATCCCGTCTTCCTGCTGAGCAAAGAAGGTTCTCCATCGCTCTGCAAGCTTGGCAGACTCAAAGATTGGCTCGCCTAACTCGTCTTCCACAATAGGCAACGGCTGGAAAGGTCCCGGTTTTTTCCTGCTCCGCACTCCAGAGTTGCGCATAGCTTGGTAGAAGTGTGACATCTGCGGTGCATCTTTTGCCATCTTCTCTAACCAAGCAGTTCTATCAGCTCGTAGGGCCCGCTTGAAATCTTTCGCTTCTTGATGGCTCTTGGCTTGCAGCAATGTGGCCTGTGCCAAGTGCCGAATACCTTCCATAAAAAGCTGTGAGGTAAATAGGACATCCTTGTGGCACCACACGTGCAATACGTTGCGAACAGTCAAAGTAGCAATGCGATCACGTACTTGCTGCAGCGTTGATCTGGTTTGCATTCGCGCAGTACGCAGAGTCCACGTTTCATCACTAATATAGCTTTTCCT